ATCCGGGCCTTAAATTTACGTCGAATTTTATATCTCCGTCCAAAACAGTAAGTACGACATTAAATTATTATTGAAGTAAATCAAATAAACATCACTGACAAATTTGTGAAGATATTTTTAATAACTGTTAATTCGTTGAAACACAAATAATCAGCAGTCGGAGGCTTTGAAATCAGCTCGTCAAAAATTCCAGTTAGTGGAATCTGAGGCATCGAAAAGCTCAGAGTTATTAAAAGGGAAGCTGGAGGGATTGAAGGAGAAGGTACATGGAATCATCGACGCGGCAGGAAAAACGGAGCTGGGTAGAAAAGCTGAGCAATTGGGTAAGGAAATTTCAAAATCTGCGAAGTGAGCTGCTGAGACGTTATCAGAAAAAAATCAGGCTTTTGAGATGACCAATGTCTTTCAGACTATATCACAGACCGCAGAAGTCGTTAGGAAAGAATTAGACAATCATGGGTTTCAAGGACAAGTCTATGTACTATTGACTAAATTGAGAAAAAGAAAGGAAATATTAGAGAGTGAAGAGAAAATGGTTGAGGCTAATACAGAGGCGACCGGTGTTCTGGACAAGGGTAATAGTTCAACATCAAAGTTTGATGGAAATAGTGGCCAGAAGTGAGTTTATGAATGATTTCTTTCGTATTGCTTTTACTCAACACTTTTAATAATTTATTCTACAGACTAGCGTGTGGAATTATCACGAGATCATCAGGAGTCTTCGAAAATACGAAAAGAATTTGTGCCTGCGATGGGACGACCCTGTGGGATGAGCGAGATGAGTCTAAACAAAAAGGTTCATTCAAAAATACTTTCATATATCCAGGTAAATACTCGTAGTATTTATCGATTAAATACAATTTTAAAAGCCAATGTTTTGTGTGTCTTTTCAGTGTGTGGTAATAATCTCTAAATTCGACCCAGAGTGAATAGTGCACTTTTTGAAAACTACTATAATTTTATTTCTGTATGCAGGTCATGTAAAAGTCATATCATTCCATAATATTCCTGATGAAATATTTTTATATTTCAGTTTTTACTTATGAGGAGGGCTGAAGGTATCTATAACTCAAATAAAAATTCAATATAAACCCATAAATAAATGTTTATTGTGTTCGATCAGATTGATTGAATTCGTAATTTATAATTTATCAGTGTGCGTGACGTAAAAAAAATAATAATAATCCAAAAAGGTATGCGAATAACTAGCAAAATTCGATCGAATGAGAATAAATCATTCGTTAACAGAACCACTGTCGTCAGAATTAGTTCTGCCTCGAATTGTTTTTGATTTCTGGTTTCCGAAGAGTAGATTAGACGGCTTCTTTCCCTTTTCTGGTGGATTCGACAGGTCACCAGTGTATGATATTGCACCAGACTGGGCTATTCTCCACTCCATCATCTCTGTGGAAAAATCGTTGCAATTTCCGAGGTCCGTGAAGCCTACGATGTAGTCTTTTGTCTTGTTGTCTGAGATGAGGGATATCGTGGGAATTATTTTGATCCACATTATGGAAATAGCTTTAAGAAAACTTGGGCGGCGAAAGGTGTTCACTGCTGGATAACCCCCTGTTGACGATTTCGGTTTCCTCTCGCATTTTGTCTACCTTCATCTTTCGTAAATGCATTATCTTTCTTCGGGTCAAGAATAGTTCCAGGAATTCATCGACTTCTGTATCTCCCGATAAGAATTTCTCAGCTATTTTCTGGACACGAAGGAGAATACAAATAAAAATCACAATTATCATTTGATAATTGTTTATATAATTGCTTAAATAATTACTTCCGATTGTTTACAGCCTTTCTTTCAGACAGTTCATGTAATGCTTTTTTATTCTCCTCGAGTTGGGGTCGCTTTTCTAGATTGACTTCGGCCAGAGAACGATTTCCAGCGTTCAGAACTTCCTTTTCAGATTCCAATTCTTTAAACTTGGAAACCTCACGAAAAGTTGGTAAGTTGCATATCTAATAATAAGACCAGAAAATAATGAGACAACCGCCTTATTATCCATTTATTGTCATCGATTAAATAATTCACCTGTTTTATGTCATTGACAACTTCCTCGAATCTTCCATCATCGTTCAATATTTCTCCCAAATCAGTGTTGCTGAGATGATTCAACATCGACAATGCAGCCAGAATATCCGTAGAAATTGATGAATTTATTATTAATTCATTATTATTTATTATTAATAAATGGCATGGTTCTTTTTTGATTCCAGGTTTTCAAATCATAACAATTTCCCATCTATTAACTTAGTGGATTAGGCCTACAGGGGATACCACTTAAAAAAAAACGCGTCAAGGACTCTACCTCTTGGGTGGCGTGGAAAGAGTGTCACTTTAATTACTTGATTTATGAAATAATAGTCAATAGTCTTTTTTTTTTCATGTCAATTGGAGAGAAAAAAAAATCAAACGACTCGACTGGCATTCAAATGTAAACGCCAGAAATCACTGAATGGTGGGGACGAAACGCGCATGAGGAGAAGGCGTTATACAGCGCTACGTACGACGTCTGAAGGTACTTGTCCCCTGTTTTGGTGTCGGCGACATCAAAGCTTGGCAATACCTCCTTCCATCATACAGAGAGGAAGGGCGCCACACACAATGGGGGTGTTTTTCATTATCGAATGAAAAACATCGATTCATTCAGAGGGAGTACACCCATTTCGATTAATCGATTCGCGCATCTCTAGTTTCGGCGTCAACAAGTTTTCGAAAAGTGCAATTTGATTGAAATATAAACACGAGACGTAATTTCAATCGTTTATGGACACCTGAGGATTACAACAATAAGTCGAACATCTTCAGGAACTCATACGACACCGAAACGTGTGAATATCTATTTGAATCAATTGAAACCTTGACTTGTCCTTAATGCTATGGGCTAACCTTTAATTAACATCAACAAATTGTTGAAGAATTGATTCGGAGGTGAATTCCATCCAAAAGAAATGAGTGTAACTCGAAATAATGGTGGAACCACAGGTGATGGTCTCGAGGACTTGGGGATCCCAGGTCCAGTGTTTCTCAGAGACGCCCTAACCAGCTGTACAGATCCTCTCAAAGCAATTGAAGAGTTTCAGCTTGAAAATGGAGTATTATTACCTTCACTACGGCCAATGTTGCCCCTGTTGGACCTCCACGGGGTTCGCAGACTAGATTTTCATCAGTCAGTCCTCGAGGAACTTCGAGAGAAACTTGTGAAGAGAATAAATGAAATTGGAGCAGAGAGAACCACTGAAAAGAGCAGCGGAGACAAAAGATTGAAGGATATGCTGTCGAAGAGCTTTGCTGCTGTCCGAGTTCCTGCACTTCGTCCTGTTGTCATGTGCATTCTCAGAAATACCCCTCATATCGATGACAAGTACCTGAGAGTCCTTGTGAGGGAGAAGGAACTCTACAATTCTGCAGATACTGAAGTCAAAAGACAAATCTGGAAGGACAATCAGAGTTTATTTGGAGATGAAGTTTCTCCCTTGTTTAGTAAATATATTATAGAGAAGGAACAGATTCTCTTTGATCATTTGAATCTGAATAGTCTGTTTTTTTCTCCTTCACCCAAGGTCAGGAGACAGGGGGAAGTCGTCCAGAAATTGGCACATATGATTGGACACAGTGTTAAGCTGTACGATATGGTGCTGCAATTTTTGAGAACTCTTTTTCTCAGGACGAAGAATATTCATTACTGCACTCTGAGGGCTGAATTACTCATGGCGTTACATGATCTCGAAGTCCAGGACATTATTTCTGTTGATCCTTGTCACAAATTCACGTGGTGTCTTGATGCTTGTATACGAGAGAAGAATGTGGATATCAAGAGGTCTCGGGAACTCCAGGGCTTTCTCGATAGCATAAAGGTGTGAATTGATTAATTACACAGGAAATTTCCACTGAGTTTTTTAAATTTTCATTTAATTATTTCTTTTAGAATCCCTTGTACGCTTCGCCATTAGTTTTCTATCGTAATTTATAAGTGTAACTTACATATCATGTGAATTCATCATTACAGAGAGGACAAGAACAAGTTCTTGGTGACTTGAGTATGACCCTGTGTGATCCTTACGCAGTGAATTTCCTTGCAAGTAGCGCAATAAAAATAGCATTGCACCTGATAAATGGGGAATCATTACCCAGAGAGAATGCTGTGTTAGTTCTCCTCCTGAGAATGCTGGCACTAGGACTGTCAGCATGGCAAATGATTGATTCGCAGGACTTCAAAGAGCCAAAACTGGACAGTCAAGTGGTGACTAAATTCCTTCCAGCACTGATGTCACTGATGGTACGATCCTAATTAAATTGCATGAATAAATCTCATCTGTTTCAGTATGAATCTCGAACTAGTGAATTTTTACCTTTTTGGGAATTTCCCTCGGGACTGATTTATGACTCGAAGAAGTAAAGTGACTTGTCTTCAAAATTAAATGTTCTAATTGCACATTTACCTCGTAGATGATGTCAGAGTATTGAAAGGACTTATGAATAATTATTATTCACACCAATATTTATAAATGACTTTGATTTCTCCAGGTGGACGATCAAATCCGACAACTCAACTGCAAACTCCCCCCAGATGAGCGAGAAAGTGCAATAGCAATAATTGAGCATTCAGGTCCTCCCCCAGATGCCTGCCAAGCCTATGCGCAATTATCAGGCGTAGCAGCAGTCCTCTCCATGTACTACGCCCTCCACGTGGGTGGAGGAATAGTGGCTGGAGGTGCGAGTGCTGCTGGTGTCTCAACAGTCAGTGGTAGCAGTTTAGGTTCAGGAAAATCACGTGGTGATGCTCGAGGTCTGATGAGAGTTCTAGCAACTCTACCCAATTGTCAAGCCCAACGTGCCTTTGAGGATCCATTTCTTCACACTCTGGTGTCTCTTTTAATCCTCAACATGGCAGATGAATTCTCTAACGAATCATTCTGCACAGTCATCTTCGACGAATTCTTCCTCGCTGGTCTTGGCAGGGATAACGTCACTCGACATTTACTAAAACTTCTGTGGTATATCTACCCCAAATTACCACCAGCACGTCTCCACTCGCTGATGAAGGCACTGCAACCAACGAGTCAGCACAATGAGGCAGTGCACAGTCTCTACGAGGCACTTCGTGAGAAAATTGGAAGTAGATCCACTGAGAATCTTCCACCATCGTCACAAGGCAGTAGGATGAGTCTAGATGGACCAACATCTCCACTCACCCCTGGTGTTTCACCAATTTCTGGTATCACCACACCTCCCAGTGTCTCAAGCCCCATGAGACCACTCTAAATTCAGAACTTTATCCAAACTGACTGAACAATATGAACAATGTATTTATACCGTTTGAATTCATTGTCTTTCTTCTTCACAGTCAATAATCATCGTCTCTACTTTTGAAAACAACTCTCTTTGTTATTGCAAGAAAATATCGCCAGCCAGCCAATTAAAATGTCTGACATCACTCGCCTAAATATGATGAGCTTTTCTAAATTAGTAAAAAAATGAAAAAATGAAATAATGAAAGGAGTGGGAAATTATGTAATTGTATAGTTGGAATAAATTTATTCATGTAAAAATCATCAGAAATCGGATAAATGTCCATTTTCCTTATCATTATCAGTTGAATCCTTCAATGTTAATGAGGCAACTAATCTATCCAAATAATGAGAATCTAATTGATAAGACATAAGGATCATTGACGTGTACATCGTGGCTTGCTTCGAGGACAACAGATTTTTTACACTAACATCCATGATACTCAGTATTTTAATTATTAAAAAAGCAACTAGTGTCCATTCCGCTGTTTTAAACACAATATTCGTAGCTGAGAGTTTAAAAGTACTGACTAACGCCTTCACCTTTGCTAATTTGTCTGGAGTATAAGCGTGTTGATACTGACCTGGACCTGATAAGGCCCTCAGTAGATCGGGGAGGACTTTATTCAATTTATCGAGGAAAATCCTGCGTCTTAAAGCGATGGGGGCGTGGGCTGATGTCAGTGGAACAACTTTCGGTTCTTCTTCTTCTTCATCCGTTGTTTCTTTTGGAGGTGGAGGTTCGATTACTGTACTGCCATGGTAAAATGCTCGTACTTTGACCTCTAACGTCTCAGCCTCCTCTTTTAGGACTGAAAAATGAGGCGCTGGTTGGAGGAATGAGGACTGAATCGCTGAGACTCGATCCTCTTTTGATTCCTCCAGTTGGAGAGTATTCAGCTTTTTGCACAGCTCGCCGTATCTGTCTTGCTGGGTTAAGGTTTCTAGTAGTTTTTGCTTGGTTGATTCGTCCCCGTGGAGGAGGTCGATTGTGTGTTTTGTTATCCATTCTGTGATGCTCTGCTCCACTCGAGATGTGATGGATGCAAAAGACACTGATGGTCGCTTTTTCAGTTTTTTTATTTTATCTGCATTTTTTGTGAATTCAGATTTTTTAGGTCTTTCAGGCAAGGATTTTTCAGCCTCTAAAGATTTTTCTAGATTTTTTTTCTCCGAATCAATTAATGAATCGGTTATCTCTGAGTTCGTAAGTGAATTTTTTAGTTCTAATTCGGACTTTGAAGCAGTCGTTTCTGTTTTTAAAATGTTTGATTGATGCCCAGTTATTCCTGATGATTGATTGGAGAACTCAAAAGGCGGTCGATTTTTCTCTAATAATTTATTAGAATCTTCTGATGATCTCTCGGTTATTTCATCGCAAGTTTCCTCGTTTCGGACTTCCTCAGAGATTTCTGAATTTCTTTCATCTGATATTTTGGGAATTTTTTCTTCCCTCCCTGAGGGACAATCTCGATCAGGTGGAAGATCGAGTCCAACGATATTGACTTCAACACCCGGTGGATTTTTTACTGTCGCTTTCGGTTTATCAAAGAGAATAAATGAAGGAATTTCTTCTTCAGCTCTTAACCAGAGAGGACTTGTCAACATTTGTTCTAGAAGATATTCAGTTGCTGAGTAACACCAGAAGCTGCAGAAATTCTTCGTTTGTTGGACATCGTAAACTTTATTTCTGAGAGTTGATATTTTGTACTGTTTGTTAACTATTTTCGTCAGGGGATTGTCACACAGAGGATAACCACAAAGCTTCAGAATAGCTCTCTCCTCGATCACGTCCTCTAAGTGAGAACGATTTATCTGTCCAAGCTGTGAAGCCGACAATAATTTGATAATCAAACGATAATAAAACAAAAAAGCTAGTAATTGAATTTAAACAAATACTCTGGGATTCAAGTACAACCGTCAAGAAAGATTTCCATAAAAAATGACAAAATAAAGATGAAATTGCAACTTACGTTTTGGAGTAGCCATTCCTCTTCGACCTGTGTTTCTATCAAACGTTCCACAATTTTCAGAGCTTTTGCATCACATTCCACTTTTCTCTGAAGGAGAATAGCAGTTGGAAGTTTTCTGCAAAAACCATTATACTATTATTTATGAAAAAACGATTTACTACTGGAGCAGTAAGAAAAAGTCTCTTTCGCAAAGAACTTTTTACACTGCGATTTCAATTTAATTTCACAGAATACCTAATAAATGTTTTTTCTAAACTAATTCTTACAGATCATAGAAAAAATCTTACTTGGCAGCTTTGGCAGCTTTAATCCTGGCACTCCGTAATTTCGCCTTAGCCGCAGCATCACTCATAATTGTCATAACAATGATCAATCAATCAGGCATTAATTAGTATTTAATAATCAATCGACTATTTAGTTACAGGAGAAACTAAATAATGCAGATGAGGTTAGAATTCCATTGACACACAGCTGTGTATCAACAAATGATGAACGACTCGGAATTACTCCAAAAATACCCAATACGTCTGGCCTAAAAATTCACTGAGAACATTAATCACTTCCACTAATTAATTAAATTAAATCCCCCTCGCTGCAATTACCGGAATGAATAAAACGAAATCAGAAGGAATTATCCAGCACAATGACAGAATGAATGACTCCTTGAACTTGGAACTGTATAACATCAAATCCACATCGCATTAATTAACATATCTTCAACATCTACAGGTGTACAAAACAAACTGTCTCACTGTCTTCTTGTTTTTTCATTGAAATACAACAGTTGGCTTTGAAAAGTTTCTCATATGCCAAAGAGGGCACGACAGTCCACAGACCAGACTGGGATTGCGCGGTGTAAATTTTCTCATCAATAATTAACATCTTTTTTTTTTAAGAAGAACAAAGTACTAAACATCACAGTAATTAGATTGATACATGATTTTATTCGGTTAGGGGAGATATGTCACTGATCAGAACAGTATGGGAGTGCGCTTTCAGTCCGAAATTGTACAAAATACAAGAGACAACATGGGTAAACCATTTGATGTACTCGTGTTGATGCTAGAAGAAATAGTGAGTATGAGGTTACTGATTAATATTGATTGAAATTCTATGTTGACTTGCAGAAATCTTACGAGCCAAATAGTTTTGAGAGATGGGGCGATCACGTTATTACATCCGTGAGTACAGAGTCATTTGTTTATTCATTCGATTAATTGTGTAACAATATTTACTCTCCATACAAATTGTTTTTCGTCTTCGTGTTCGAAACGAATTTCGTTCCTTCTAATTGATAACAGAACGTACAATATCAAATTTTCTGCCAATTTCGAGCAATTAAATACAAATCTTATGCAATTATACAATTTTTTTTCTGACTCTAAATTTATTTGATGAATTTAGTCAATTAAATGTTTTTGGATTTAATTGATGTAATCAATTATTCGATATTTAATATCTCAGGAATAATTTTACTCAGATCCTTCTGATGTTTTATTTTTATTTGAGGAGAAATTGTTGGGAATTCATAAATTCGGAGTAAATAGGATTTTTTTTACAGTTCGCAGCAATATGGTCAATCAGCCTATATGCGATGCCTTTAATTGCAACGTTTATGTATCGTCGGAGCTATTCGCTGACGGAAAATGCCCATTCTCTAACGAAATTCGTAGCTGGTGCCGGTTTTATTCTGATTGCATCGCTGGCAGTGAGAGGCTATGCACGAGCTAATAATCCTACTTATGCGAAGTTCATCAAGACTTTGAATAAAGCCAAAACGTTTTACAATTACGAGTCCAAGCAGGATCTCTTGAAGTACGATTTTGAGTTCTGGGCTTGGCCAACTGATTTTAAAGTTAGTTCGATAGATCGGTAAGTGATCTTTAAGGCCTCATGCACGTGTGGAATAGTTCAGTTTATGTCACACGATGCAAGAAGTTTTATTTATTTCGTCATTTAAATTCCACCTCTGAACCGTATGACGTAAAATAGTATCGAGCATTCGGTCATAATCTAATGAAAAACTGAAGAGTTCATGATTGATCGAGTTTTTTGAGAATTGGATTAAAACCATTTTTTAAACCACTCTACCATAAATTCTTAATAAATCACTGACTTCCATTTCGTTTTCTCCATGAACTGTCTCGGAAATATTTGTCATTAAATCGCAATTGTAATATCCATTTTCTCGTTTCAGTCCTGATGGCAAGAAAAGAATAATCGTGACAACTTCGAGCAGATTAGCGAGAAGAGGCGGTAAAGATTTGATACTAGCTGGGCCTTGCAAAATAATCTCTTACGTAGTTGCCCATACAATTGCACTCAAACTCATGTACCCTGGAAGTATGACACTAATTAATATGGCTCTGAAATCAGCGATGATCCAAGGGAGAACGGATTTAATTGATTTGGGAGGGCAGAGATCTAAAATTCTTACTTTTGATAATCTCGAGATTGATGCTATGTTCGTTGATAGACGGAATAGAATGGGAAATGGAAATATTCTTGTTATTACGTGCGAGGGAAATTGTGGATTTTACGAGACCGGCATTATGGCAACACCTCTCAATAAAGGGTATTCAGTGTTGGGGTGGAATCATCCAGGATTTGGAGGGAGTACGGTCAGTAAAAAATTCATCAAATTTATTTAACCGAGTAATTTGATTTATCAGGATATTTTTCAATGGCTTCTTCAACCCAGAATTTCAATTATACCACAAAAATCGCGCCTTAAGATCGTCCCATAGTCCTTTCAATTTTCTCTGAATTTTCTTATTGAAAAAATGTTTGAAAAGTTATATTATAATATAATGATTTGAAATTTTCCTTTCAAAATATTACGGACTAACAGAAAGACAGAAAAGAAAAGGAAAGACTTGAGCTCTTACCTCAATCTTAGGATGCGTAAATAATGTATAAATAATGTGTAAATTCTGTAATGTAATTTACCATCGAATTTACAGGGATCCCCATATCCTCCATCTGAAATAGATGCTATCGATGCTGTGATGAGATTTGCGAAGGAGAAATTATTGTTTCCTGAGGATCGAATTATTTTATACGGATGGAGCATTGGAGGATTCACCGCCACGTGGGCAGCTATGAATTACCCTGAAATCCATGGTTTAGTTCTCGATGCCACTTTCGATGACGTTCTGCCTCTCGCAACGTCGAGAATGCCTGCGACTATTGACAGTATTGTACGAAACGTTATCAGGGAGTATTTGAATCTCAATGTCGCTGAGCAATTGAAACGGTACGAATACTTGAATGAAGTATTGAATTTGAATGTAATGGAAATTATTAACTGCTCTCTTTTTCTGTTGAATTCAGGTATAACCGTCGTGTTTTATTGGTGAGACGCACAGATGACGAGATAATGTGCACTCCCACGAGTAATCTCACTCACAATCGTGCAAATACGTTGTTAACTAAATTATTACTCCATCGTTACCCACATTTGTTTGTTGAAAATCGTGGAAGTCTCGATGTTCTCACACAATATTTGGCGAATCCTACTCATGATACCAGTGGAAATACCACGAGGTCACTTGTTGCTAGGACACAGAGTAAATATTTTAACACTTGATTTTTAGATTATTTATGAGTTTATGAAATGAATATAGATAATGTGCAGATTATTTCGAAGAAAGCAATTTGATTAATCTTTTTTGATTACAGATTTATTCGGGACTGGTAGTTCGATTAATGAGAGCCTCTGTGTAGAAGTTATTAGGGAAGATATTGAAAAGAATAAGGGGGAAATTAAATATCCATCAAATTTGGGACAAGACTGTGATACATTGACTAGGCAGCAACTTGTTATTTATCTCGTGAGTTATTTAATTTTTGTGATTTTGTCCTCCTGACGACAGTAATAAATCCTAATATTATTGCAGGCAAATAAATATATGGAGGATCAAGCCTCTCAGCATTGTGCACCTTTAGTGGTTGAATTATTCCACCCAGGATGGGATCCAAAAACACTTCATTTAAAAACGACGTAATGAAAGATTCATGATTTTGAAAAATGTCATTATGCAGAAGGAAATGATCTTCAAAAAAATTGTGCACTTTGAATGCGTATGTGGATGCTGCAAGTGTGATAATGAGGCATTTAAAAACTTCCAGAATATGAATTACACCCACGATCCATGGATCAAGATCAAAATTCGCCTTTAATGTTTTTCTTCTTTCTTTCGATTATTTTGAGACTCAGAGAAAGAATAACCCAAATAATGTGGATGCAAACGTTTTTATATTAAAATATTAAAAACAGAAAATTACGAATAGTGTTTCAATATTTTTTTGACAGAGTAAGTGAGAAAGTATTGAATTAGTTTCAGCACACCTGCGTATCAATATTTCTCCAGTTGACGCGATTAATTAATAAATACATATCTCTGTAACAATTACATCTCTGTAGATTTCTGGTATATCCACAACTTGTTTGTTAGATATTGCGCCGATTGATACGTTACGTACTTGGAAGTCTATTCAGGATTGTCTTCAGAGAGGTTTTCACTTCCTGGAATGGATCTACGAATTTTCGTCCCGTTTTTATGGGCTTTTCGATGAATAATTTGAGCGCATCTTTCGTTAAAGATGGAAAATAATCTTTCTGAACAACTTTTTCCAGAGCTTTGAAGCAACCCTCGAGGTTCCAATTTATGTTCCCAACACTCTTGTCCTCGCTCTGTAAAAAATGAAATATTTTTGAGTTCCAAATGAAAAATCAATCTGATTTCCATTATTTTTAGTTATCAATCTGATTACTCACTTTTATAAGCCCCAAGTCGACCAATAAATTATTGTTTAATTTCGACATTTGATCATTTTCTGAGGCATATTGAAACAATTCAGAGTACAAGAGATCTGTCAGACGTTCAGCTTCTACTCTGACATCGCCGTAACCACTTCCACAGTGTGAAGAGACTTTCATTACAATACACAAGAGTTCGTTCACGTATTTCTCAGATTCCCGAGAATTTTTGCCTTGACAGCGTTCCTACATCAATGAATAATATAAAATTAATTATTGATGATATCTCTGACCATTTAATCATTGAATTCTATTTATTCAAAAACTAATAGATCAAAATATAAATACCTTAGCATATTCCAAAAATCCCATGACCTTATCCCCCTCGATCAACAACAAATTTTCTCCACTCGACGATTTCATAAACTCCTTGACACTTATAGGTTTCTTCACGCTCTTCTCCTGAATAGGTGTCTGAACTGTCTGCTCTTTCTCGATATACACTTCATCACCCTGATCATCCTGATCATCCTGATCATCCTGATCACTTCCTTCACCTTCTCTCTCTTCCTCCTCTTCACCGCCACTCTCCTCGTTCTCACTTTCATCAGTTGCATCATCATCAAAAGGCCCCAACGATTTAATTCTTTCCGATTTCTCGAGGTAATTCCTCAGAGTAGTTCTTCCACTCTCTCCAAGAGCATTTCCATCCAGCAGAAAACTATCAAGTTGAGTTTTATCCGCAACGGAACGAGCCAAGGCTTCCGCAGCCCTTGTTCGAATCTCATTGAACGTGAGATTGAGTTCTGTAAGTGAAAGATGATTTCCTTTGATGCCAAGGGCATCAGCAATTACCAAGGCACCTTTAGTCTTCAATAAACAGTCCCCGAGATTTAAACACTCGAGGGCCTTGAAGTTGTGGAGAACATCAGCAAGAGCTTGAGCACCCCTCGGGCCCACAGTATTATCATTGAGATTCAAAACCCTTAATCCAGGATTATTGGATAGTCCACTGGCCAGTGCTGAGACCCCAGAGTGATAAATTCCATTCTGTGGCATCACAACCTCCTCCAAACTCCCTAGCTTTTCAAACACACCAGCAAGAGCTGTAGCTCCTTCGTTCTCCAGTCTATTCCGTCCAGCGATGAAAACTCTCAATGCCAAGGGTTGACCTTCCTTAGAACTGTTTGCATGACAATCCAACAATGCCTTTGCCAACATCTTACCACCAGTGATACCCAGACCATTGTTGTTGAGACGTAGTTCCCGAAGAGTGTAGCATGTGCTTGATCTCAGAAACGCAGCAAGACCCTGGACTCCAATGGGCCCAAATGCATTGTCACTTAGGTCGAGCTCTACCAATCGTGCACCAGCACTATTCAATCCATCTCCAAGATACTCCAGTGCCTTGGGAATCTCATTTTTCATTCTACCTGTGAACATGTCCTTCCACAGGGCTCGTTGCAAGTGAGATCCATGAGTTTCCAAGGCTTTTGATATAGCCCTGGCAGCGTCTGGACCCAGGGTATTACCTTCTAAATCAAGGTAGCTCATCTTCTCACATTTCTTGATCTCCTCGCACACGTCCTTTGCTAAAAAATACAATTTGTCATTAAATCAGGTGTAACCCCTCTCAGAATATATTACACTTTTGCATATTTTTAATTTGATAAAATAATATGTGCAGCTTTTCTATTCTATTCATGAAAAATCCATCCCCATGCGTATGTGACTTTTGATATATTTTATTCCAAGCCTTTCTGTTCCATAAAACATAAACTCCAGAAAACATAAAGCATATTGACAGATTATTTACTCACCGTCATCTTCAGAATTGAGTTTCAACGATTTTCCAGAGAAAGAAACACCAGCACTTCCAGTACTAGCCTCATTCAGCTGCTCGGTTATCTCCTTGAAATCGAACGGCATTCTGCAAGTGCACTTCAACCGTAATGTTCTCACAGCACAAAAATCAATGAATCTATCAAAAATTCAGCTCGAAACTTTCAAATTTACACCGAAAAACTACAGAAAATCCCTCGAATTATCCTGGCTTTTGTATACGTTACGTTTGCACGCTGGATAACGCTTTCGAAGCGGGAAATCTGCAGCTGTAACATGGACAAACGTTTTGGTTGGAATTTTTTTCAAATCTACCGTACCAACTGTCTGAACTTAACGTTTAATCGGGGCAACTTCGTGTCGGTCAATTCAACCAATAAACAAACGAGTAAATTGGTACGACTGTAAAAATAAAACTAGATGCACACACCTGGTTTGACGAAAACATGGCGTAGAGCGACAGAAGTGATTTTGTTACACATGTGTCAGCGATTTTTTTTGGTAAGCTAAATAACAAAAAACACTGATCACTGCATTGATGGGGAAAAAATTCTTTTAATTGGGTAACACGTGATTATTGAGTTGATAGACGGCTTTATTTCTGCGGTTTATGTAATGGTGATACTGGTGGGCTGAACTGAGGTACCCTGAGACGCATATTTCGGGGTTTTAACATTTCATCGACCATTTAATATGTTTTTATACGTTTTGTTATGAAATTAATTATTACTCCACCTATTAGATGATGTGGACAGTATTTTTCATTTAATTATCATGCATTTGAATTTTTTTAAATAGTTGTAAACAACGATTGTCCATCATTTTTTTGAGGCTTGCCAGGAGTACCTTTTGATGTCATATTTTTGAGTCTTTTTGAATGTTTCTACTGTTGCATTTGTGCTGTGTTAATTCTTAGGATTTTTACGTTAGCTATGCTATTGGGAAATGAACAGGAATTTTTTGGGAGCAGAGGGTTTATTCTGTTTAGTTATAACCGGTATTGTGATAATTTAGTGAGTCAGTAATCGTTATCTCATCCTAAACAACAACGCGGGAGGAATAGAACACAAATAATTATAATGGATAGAAATAAAACGTTCGAATCAAGACAGTTCTATTTATAAAAACAATTTCTCCTACATTACAGCCGCTCATGTATTCCAATTCTACTGATCGGACCAAATTCTGACCAACGTTGGAAACGATCGAGAAGCCCTAGATTACCGTAAGCATTGACAATATATTATTTTTAAATAAATAAATCATTAATCTATCGATTGTGATGTTTGCGTAATTGTTGAGTTTCGGAGAAACGTATTAATAAGGCTGTGGGAGTTTAGGAGCAGGGGACTCAAAGTGTGAAGAGCCATTTTCCAAGTCTTGGTTTAGATTGTCTAAATATAAATTCAACTGCTGTGAGAGAGATTTCTACACTGTGTAGTGCCGTGTCGCGTTTTAGCTCATGTCTTCAAGATACCCGCAGTCATGACGGCTTCCTGCTTTGTCGCATATATCAAGAACTAGAAGTATTCCACCTTTCTCATGGCCCAGTGCCAAAATTCCCATTTTGCCAATTGACGATAATGATCCCTCCCTTTTTTTCTCTTCTCTAGACGGATATTCTAGAGATTATCGCGCTTCATTCCGTAAATTTAGATTGAATTGAGACAAGTAGTTTTGGAGAAATTCGCGACTTTCATGCTTTTGTCAGGCACCAGTGAGAATTATTCTCGCAATTTCCGCTATCAATTATTCATTGTGAGATATCATTGGCTGTAGAAAATTTTAATCATTCATTTGGGGGAGAAAAACTGGATGAGTCACGAGTAATTTCTATGGAGTGACTGCAGATAAATTTATGATACAAGATAGATGATTGTAGAGTGGGCTCATTAATGATTTGCCAAATTAAAAACTAATGTTTTACGATATGTATTTAACGCGTTCAATGTGAAATAATCTAACAACTAGATAACATCCACAACTATTCAGAAATGTTGTCACTCAACAACAAAGAAGTCTTTGTCCATTTTCTCGATGAAAAGAATGATTTTTTCAAGTCTTTGGTACACTCTCCATTTATCCATTTTCAAATTGGCAATTAGTTATCAGTCCTGTCGTAGATTTCCAGTTTGCAAAGCAATCTCTGGTATAATCTACTTCATTAGTCATTCATTCGTTCTCCAAAAACCGCTGGTTCAAGAATATCACTTGTAGTCTTAAAGTGCAAGTAGTTATTGAGAATGTCGAGAATTGCATTCGATTCCCCTCATTAATTATTCCTCATTACTCGTGATTGCAAGCTGTTTGTGTAATTTTTAAATTCACTATTATTTTCCAGATAAAAACGAAAATGGTGGTGGTGGCAAAAGATTGTTTATTCTTTGACGAATTGATGGGCCCGTTCGCCAGGCACACTGATTTAACGCCTCCAGCAGTTAATCGTAAAACGGTAGTAGTAGTATCAGGCCTCGCAAACATCCACGCCAGAGTGCTGGGGCCTCTAGACGACACCACGAATGAAAAATCAGTTTTGTTCGGTCAAAAAGCCACAGCAAGTCAACTCTACAATGCAATATCGTACCTCTACAAAGACTACTCCTCTCCTGACTCCTTCAATCTCGTCCTGATGTACAAAGACAAGGAGTACCCTTTAAAATTTGAGAATAAACCGATTCCAAATCTCGATTTGGAGCCCTCTCAAGCCCCACTCCAAGGCTTCTACGCCGCCAACATCGGTGTCAATCAATATCCTGAAATCGTCAACGGAGACACACACAAAATCGAAAAAGATACTTCACACAAGACCCAAATCGAGTCCACTAGAATAGAATCACCACTGAAACATCCTAAGGAATTTTATCTGATGGATGTAGTACCTTCTGACTCTTCTCCCCTCAATGCCAGAAGTTTCTTAGTCTCTTCTTCGACTGTACTTGAAGAGCTCTACAATAACATCATCTTCGTCGGCGCTTCCCGTCCCACAGAATCCACAATAAGGCTGCACTACTCAACTGATCTATTTGGAGACTACACGGAGAACGTATTAGCGACCACACAGTTATTCAGTAATGTCGAAAGTCTTCGGAAAACGTTGGGAAAAATAGATTTTGAATTCAATCGACCAAATCAAATTCTATCACTCGAGTTGATGCTTAATCTCTCCGAATCGAAACCCGTTCTTCCCGCAATAATAATGAATGATTTGTTCAATCACCAGGAAGAATCATCCCCCGCGTCACCAAAATTCGTTTCAATTCTGGCTAAAATGAAGATGGGTGATGAAGCAAGAGTTGAGGCTCAGGACTTTCAGGCTGAGGCTAAATCAGAGATGGTATACGTTGGTCTGGTGAATCAAGCAATGACTTGCTATTTGAACAGTCTTCTCCAAGCTCTCTACATGACCCCAGAGTTTCGGAATGCTCTTTACAATTGGGAGTTTGTCGATGGAACTGAAAAGGACAAAGCTAGCAATAGTATTCCTTATCAACTACAGAAACTATTTCTCAACCTGCAAACGTCGACAAAAACAGCCGTTGAGACGACATCCTTAACAAAGAGTTTTGGATGGGATTCAACAGAAGCCTGGCAGCAGCATGATATTCAAGAGTTGTGTCGAGTGATGTTTGATGCTTTGGAGCAAAAATTCCAAAATACTCAACAGGCAGATCTCATCAATAGACTCTACGAGGGTAAAATGATAGATTACGTAAAGTGTCTGGAGTGCAGGACAGAGAAGTCACGAGAGGATACATTTCTTGATATTCCCTTGCCAGTCAAACCTTTCGGGAGTAATGTAGCTTATAATAGTGTGGAGGAGGCCTTGAGGGCATTTGTGCAACCTGAAACACTCGATGGAACTAATCAGTATTTCTGCGAGACGTGTAACAAGAAGTGCGATGCACACAAGGGTCTCAAGTTCAGTAAATTTCCCTACTTATTGACATTACACCTCAAGCGTTTCGATTTCGACAACAACACTTTTCACAGAATTAAATTGAATGACAGAGTTAGCTTTCCAGATGTTCTCAATTTGAATTCTTTCGTTCCCTCTGACAATCAAGAATCTCCAACTGCTGAGGAGGATGCTGGTGTCGGGGTTAAAGGCGACGATGGGTCGACCACTGACAGCGGGGGATTGGACGAGTGTCCTCTGAATTCAAATGGAATAAATGAGAATGGAATTACCAGCGAACCCAGTAGTGAGCATTTAAATAATCACGAGCAGGATGATTCAACAGAGGCATGGCAGCAGCACGATGATGAGGGAATCGACATGAGCAATGGGCCATCAACATCGACCACAGAGCACAGTCAGGAGGACACTCGTCATCAATCAGCTAGTGGCCCTTATGTCTACGAATTATTCTCAATAATGATTCACAGTGGTAGTGCCAGTGGCGGTCATTATTACGCCTACATCAAGGACTTCAGAACCAACGAGTGGCTGTGCTTCAACGATCAGAATGTCACTCCAATTACTGACGAGGATATTCAAAAAACTTATGGAGGAGGACCGACTAGGGGTTACTACAGTGGTGCTTACAGCAGTAGCACCAATGCCTACATGCTTATGTACCGACAGATCGATTCTCAACGTAATTGTTTACCAATGGAGGTCGACAATTTTCCTAACCACATACAGGATTTATTAGTTAAAATGAAGGAGCATGAGGAGGAGAGAAAACCTTATGACAGACCAGCACAGATGTACAGGATAAAGATTTACGTACGTCATCCTGTTGAGAATACTATGAAATCGAGAAAATTATTTTCCGTTCCTGATGAAACGTTGGCAGAGTTGACGGAGAAGGCTTGGAAAGCCTTGGACTTGGAAAATGTCGTGGATTTGGAGCAGTGTCGTCTTGCGACGTACGACGTTCTGTCAGCAACGATTGATTCAACGTTTGATGATCAGGAACAGGAGCCACTGGGTATTATTCTTCAAGAGTATAGTTTAGATATGCTATTAGAAATTCGTAAGAAGGAGGAACAATTTGAGCAGTATGAGCCAGGGGGTCTTGGTACCCGAGTCTTCCACATTGACTGCGTTGAGGAAAAAATTATCGATGGGCCAATTTACGTCAGGGGATATCGCGCGCAAACAGTTAAGCAGTACAAAGAGCAAGTGGGTGAAATTTTGAATATAAATCCAGATAAAATGGTGGTAGTTCTTCAAAAATATCCATCAGGTGTCCGGGTTATTATGAATAATGGTAATCAATTGGTAAATGAAGGATTTCTCACTGGAGTACGAGTATTTGTTATGGATAAAACGGATAACAATTTGGCGGAGTTTATCGATAAATTTGAAACATTAATTTGCCTTGATGTTGAATTACCTGACACGAGCGAAGAAGTGTTGGAGGAATTGGGAATTCAATCGTTAGAGAGTAGACAGAGGGAGCTTAAAGAGTTGAAGGAGCAAAAGGAGCTGAAAGAAGCTGAGAAAATAGATAATCAGAAGAAGAAGAGTGAAGTGGGTGAGGCAAGTCAGCAGAAAGAGGAATCTCGAGATCAAGCGAGCAACTCGTGCCCTGAGGCTTCTGCCTGTGATAATGAGGAGTGGCAGGAGCAGAGTAATAGTGAAGACAGTAGCCTCAGTGATAGCGATAGAACACTCGTTGGAAATGCCTCAGAAGACGATGAAATTGGACTTGTGACTGTCGATGATGAGTGGTATCGCCACAGCAAGTCTATAAATGAAAAGACCGATTGGGACATGGATCACGAGGAGGAGATGGGTTATATTTTCAAGGCTACACCTTATGATAAAAATAATCAGAAACATCTGAGGGTAATTGTGGACAAGAGGATGAAGTTCTGCACTTTTAGAAAACACCTAGAGCCATTCGTTGGTGTACCAATGGAGAGTTTCAAAGTTCTGAGACAAGCACTCGATACTACTGATGTTGATTATATGAGACCCACGAGTTCATTGAGAATTTGGGATGACGAGGAGAAAATTAGTATAAAATTGGGCAGAGCTCTGAGGTCTCATGAATTTAGGGTTAAAGTATTCGTTTTGGACCTGGAAAATTCTAGTAAATCTTGTGAGGCTTTGTTTGAAGCCACTATATCGAAAGATGCTACGGTGGGTGCTGTGAAAAAACAGCTGTTGGCTGAATTGCAACGAAAACACGGTCAGTCCATTGATTTTGAACAGTGCAGACTTAGGAAAAAGGACCTTCAGAATCCATCCAAAGTTCTACTGAATGAACAGAAAATAAGAGACGTTGGATTCATGTCACAGCCTCAGCTGTTTATTCAGGAGTGGTGGGAAGGGGGAAATGTTACTAGTACTAATCAGATTTTGGTGATGGTGGCGAGGGTTTCGATGAATGACCAATTTTTGGGATCCTTTCAAGAAATTGTACTTGATGAGAAGAGTTATGAGGAGTTGGCGAAAAAAATTATGGCATTATCGATGATAAGGTTGGAGAATTTACAGCTTACCAAGGGAAAGTGGCCGTGTAATTTGTATGAGACGCGGTTGTATTGGACACCTGCTAATCCGCCCTTGCAACTTGGAACACTTGAGGATGGTTCTTGTATTCTTTACAGGTATTATATCATTTTTCCTGCAATCATGAATATTCAATTGTCGAAATGCATATTGTAATGATATTTCAGTACAAAAGATTTAGATTCTTTTGAAATATAAAATCCAGCGGCCAATTTTAATGGAATTGAACGAGGATAGAAATATTTTCGTAGACACCTTTTTTGTAACTCTCGTTTTGATCTGTAAAAAATGTATCTACAAAAATATCGCTATCTTTCCTCCGTATCGATATATTAGCTAAAAATTGGCCCAAAGAATGGACGTGTGAATACATCCACAATATTCGTATTAAATTTTCAATTTTCCCTCAACAGAGATCGTGATGATCGGTGGTCATCGAATTTTCATGGGGAGTCCACGGGGGATTGTGACTTCGAAAAAAGGAGATCAAAGTCATCAGCGCGTTTCAGATTAACGTCTCGTCCAAAAGGCCCCAGAGGTTACAAAGACGCCGAGAGCCCGAGACGCGAAAAAGCCCTTAAAATATATCTCGACGATAAATGATCCACCTGTGAGACTGTCAGTATTGATCCAATCTCGCAGATCCACCAGATTCTGCAGATCACACAGTGCTGAACAATTTTTATTTTTATTTATTTTTTTTTCTCTTCTAATGATAAAAGAAAAAAATATGATTGGTACGTGACTCGCCAGCCAATTTTTTTTATTCTTCATGTAAGAAATGGGAGGAGAGAATCCGCACTCTCCTCTCTTCATCATGTTTAGTTTTTTTTTTCTTTCGTCATTATTACTACTCGAAATATCAATCATACCTGTAATTACGAAATGGAATCCCTCTTTTTCCTTTTCCTCGAGCATTTACCCTCGCAATTAACGTGCATATTCACTAAATCGAGCTTACGGAATAAAAAATGAAAAGATTAAAAGAAATACCGTGATATTTACAAAATAATATTGAAAGGTATTTTCGTAGGTAATTGGAATAATTAGACTCTGTGGAGAAAATTGGGAGAATAATAGCCGAGGTTAAATGATTATTTTTTAATGACTAAAATTAAAGGAAAAATAGGGATTTCGGATGAAAGCAGTTTCCTCCTCAAATTTAATCGACGATCAACTATACCTTCTATCTGTATCATACGCTGTAGTTATGAAAGAAATTATATTTATAATTAATTATTCATGATTAAAGAAAGGAAAAAAGCTGAAAAAAGAAAATATACAAAGCTTCATTGGACTTTTTAGTCTTTGGTATGTTTTTCATTAACTGTAGAGTAATGAATGGCAGAAAGTTATCAGATGTAATTAACCATCTTGTTATTTTCTGTCTGATTAATTTGATTTTGTTTTGCCAATTTTTATTGTTACTTTCCGTATTATGAGGCACTCAGCGATTTATTTATTGAATATTTGTTGAGCGTGTTAAAAGTGCCGAATTTTTTCATATGGAAGCAGATAATTGAAGGTCATTTCAATCGATTTTTTAAGAATGTTCGATAGATTATGCAGCAATTCATCATTGTGAAAATTTTTGAGAGAATGGAAAATGACAAAAAATTAAATACACTGTGAAAATTTTTTCTTTTATTATTTACAGTTGTTTTTTGCTTCTTGTTCTATTTGTTTTTTTTTTTCATTACGTGAAATTTACTGCAACTCTATTTCTCCCTGCTCGATAATGAGCAGTGCATACATTTTTCATCGTGATCTACACTTTGTTCTGCAGGACAGAAAAAACAATAGTCTAGTAATAGTTATCGCGACAAGGTACAATCGATTTTTCTTATTCTGGCACATTGTTTATAATATAAAAATGAATTAGTTTGAATACCTGTGAGCGAGTACGATGGTACGATAAGTCTCTACAGATTTTGTTTGTCCAGCTAGTCATCTACACGATATAATTTTTTTTTTAATGATTAATTTAGTACATCTCACTTGGAAAAACTACTTGCACCGGTCTCACATTGAAGAGCAGTCGTAATCACATTTTACATGAAGAAAGCTAATTATTTACACACACACTTATGCATAAACACAAGACGCAGTAAAAAAAAAAGAAAATTAAAAATTGACATTCTGTCAAATTTAATCATTCGTTCTCTGTACTACAGTAAAGTAACAGAGAGAGTTTCTGATTAGCTGGGGAAAAAATTCAGGAAAACTAATAGCAAGAATGATTTCAATTCCCAATTGAAGATCAAACTTGATTCCTTCTCGCGGGCATTATCATCAGCATAAATAAAAGATTGAAAAAAATCTCTGATCAGAAAACCTCTCTTTCACTTTAAATTATTCTTATAAAATTTCTCCACTAATGCACATTCCTCACTGCTATCTGAAGTGATACAACTCAATAATAAAAAAAATTAGATTCTTGCCTCTTGGACTAAAAGTTACTACAAAGTGAAAATATTTTCCTCACAAGTTTCTCATTGAAATTATCCATTAAAATGAATTGATATTAAAACCATAAAAATTGCGTGATTTTTCAAATATTCTAAAATTTCAATTAAAACAAACTCCTCTATTTTTAAACAAACCTATTGAGAGGCAGAACCAAGATTGAAAAAAAAAACGAATTCAAAAAATAAACGATCCACCAGAGATCAACCTAATTTTATCCCAAATGAGTTGCATTCCTCCAGACATGGCTCTCATCGCTCATCACCACAGATTTTTCATAAATAATATTCACTCTCTTAAAAACGTACGTTGTATCTTCCCAATGATGTTTATTGACTCAGTAAGGGACGGAATGTGCAATTTTCGAGGACTATTCAACACGCCCGGGGGTTCCAACGAAGGTGAGGAGCAAGAGGGGGAATAAAATGAAAATAAAAAAAATAAATGGATAATAAAAAGGTCGACATAACGCTTGTGCGTGAAGGCACAAGAGTGCAAAGAAGGGTAGACGGTGTACACGGGGGTCGCGCCAACACATATCTCGATATCAGACTCTTCGATCTTGACCGAGTCCCTCGCCGCCCGTATATTTACATGTATAATTTATATATCCCGCCCGTGAAACGCAGAAAAGAAAGATGCTAGGGCGGGTACGAGGCCACAAGAGACGATGCACATACTCCACCTACTACCCAATGTATATGGCCATTATATTGCTTGGGCTCGTTGAAAAATTCCCCTCGGAATCTCAATTTGCGGTAATCCCCCCCCCCCTCCCCCCATCCTCCCTCTTTCCTTCCCCTTGCGCTCCCACCTCCCTCTGTCTCCCCCTGCCTCCCCCTGCCTCCCCCGATTTCACCCATCTACCCTCTACCCCATCTCTTCGCCGTTTTTTTTATTCCACATTTTTTTCACGTCTTTAATTCTTCCCACGAGACGGTGATTCATGTGCACGTGTCTCCTTGGCTTTTCGCGTTCCCCTTTTCAGCGTTCACACGTTTTAGTCTCATTCATCAGACCTGATATGCATTTTCAATTTTAGATAAAAACATTTTTCACCATTCGCATTATCAATTGACAGCTCTAAGAGCCCAGTACAATCGCTCAATCACACGGATAAACTCTATTTGAATATAAATAATTTATCAAAACGACGAGGAATATTTACATCACTAGGTCTAAGTGAGAATGTCATTGTTCTCCTATATGTTCATTTACTTTCACGATTTTTGAGTAGTGACATGTACTCAAGCCTTTATACAGTACTTCTTCAGTTAAATTATTACTGATAATAATTTTCTCTCCATTATGTTTCAACTAAATTTTACATCTTAAAAAAAAATGTAAAATTCAATATTTTTTACACTTAAAATGATATATTACTTCAGTATCTCCTAAAAACACTGAAATACTCTGTAATTCAGTAATTGCTTATCTCTCAAGATAACCCTCACACCAATCTTCAAAAAAAAAAATCACAATAAATTAAAAATTCCACTCATTTCTATAAAATTTCATTCTTGCATACTAAAGTGATAAACGAGAAAATTCACTTTAACCCAGAAACTAACGAAGATATCGCAATGACCGTAATAACCTTTTCCCTAGCATTTAAAAAGTTCTACAAAAAAGATTGGGACGACAATCCTGCTATCTCCTCTCATTTCCTCGCTATTTCCAAAAAACTCAGCGAAACATAAGTGTTACCACTCAAAACTCGAGTCTTCCGTAGCAAAAACCCTCTGAAGATTCTTCTGAGGCTTTAGCTTCTCAGGCCGCCAGTTTCTCTCTCCATCCCCGACCTTTTCTTTTCATCTGCACATTGTGACCGCGAGACCAGCAATTAATTACTCCGTGGCCGCTAGGCTCTGTACTCCAATGCATTGTTGCATCTGTTGCGCCTCTTTGTCTTTCACACTCGTACACATTGACGCTTCAATAAAAAAAGAAATGAAGACAAAAAAAAAGGGCAACAACCACAGGCACCCACAGTGTCTTGTGCCACGGCTTTCTCGTTACTAATAAATTAAACTTCGTGTAAGTATGGAGGCGACCTGTCTTCTCTCCACGTACACAGGATATGCACCAAAGGGGACATTAATGATATCCTGACAACGTTCAATCGATATGTTAAAATTCCATTCTCCCTCCTCATTTTTTTAACTTTCTAATAAATGTTTTCCAACAGCTTTTTGTCTCCCCACAGCTATAACCAGTTTATCGTTTTATAGTGTTGGTTTCATTGTTGCGTGCGTCGTGAAGGTACGACGGGCGAAACGGAATTGAGTAAAAGCAAAACACGAGGGAAGCCAATAGCAAAAAAAAAAGAGAACATTGAAAAAAAGAAATTCAAAAAACAGAGGAGAAAGGTTGAGATTGGGTCCATTGAACATTGGCTGGTTGAGAGAAAAAAATATATAAAGAATGATGGCAGGAAGAGGGGAAGAATGAGAGGGAAGAAGTCCCTAAGGGGCTACCAGTGCGGACGTCGAATTACGAAACACCTGTTCCAGAAAATAACTTCATCAGATTCGTACTCGTGCAAATTTTGGGCAATGCTTCCACTGTATCCTGGCTTTTTGGTGATGCTAATCATCATCGAACAAAAGAAAGGCGTGAGCACAGCATGTGACTGTCCCCCAAAACCCCTGAATCCCCTGAATATATTTGTGTGCAATTTGAAGATGAAGAGGAGTTGCTCAGGTGCTCTGAGGGAATCCTCCGTTTATCCCTCATCATGAAATAATAATTGTTTAGAATCAGATATAATCCGAGGGTGTCGTTGACTCATTAATCGCTGCCAATCTGTATTGTCCCTGGTCCTGATTAATCGGTGTGTTCAAAGCTGGTAGATTCGACTGGTGATTAGTGGAATTCGAGCTCAAATCGCTGTAGTAAGCGCTACTGGGTGCACTGCTGAGAAAAGGTCCATCAGGTTCATTATCACTACCTGTGTATCCAGTATTTTGGTAAGAGGGATTAACATCACCAGCACTGCCATTATTCCTTTGACTCTGAACGTGGTGATGATGATGGTGATGATGATGATGAGGATGTGGATGAGTATGATGATGATTTTGAGTATGTGGTGGGATTGGAGTGGATGGCCCATTCTCGTACATCTCGTAATCAGGCTCTTTTAACCTCTGACTATGTCTCGTTCTGATTGAATCCCTCTTTAGTGTCTCATTATCACTGGTTGAGTATCTCCTGTGGAGACGTGATGCATCCAGCTCGTGGTACTCATCCTCATCACCTGGTGTTGTAACACCATCGCCATACGTCGAACTACCCCTCAGCTGTAATTGTAGATCACTGGCATAACTCGCTGTCTGTGAGTCCAATTCAGCGTACAGTGCCTCATCAGTCTGCATGTGGGTGTAGTGATTTTCAACTGGTAAATTAATGGCACAACGATGCTGTGGTAGACTCAGGGGGGTCGTTACAACCCCGGCTGTGCCACCTCCACGACGAGAACCCAGCCAGGACCATACGTTATGTCCTGCAATTAGAGATTAAGTACTTGTGATGCCATTTGTTTTTTTCAACTCGGAGATTAATTCGATATTTTCGGAAAGACATTTTTCAGTCTGGAGTGGACGGTTAGCATGGGATACCTTAGGCCGTAGGTAGGTAGATCATTTATAATTCGGGAGAGAGACAAGGAATTGTTTCATTGTCTTCGTTCCGGCTCTCGGAGGATCGCAGGGTGAATTTAATTTTAGAAGAGTTTAGTGGCGATTCTATTTAAGTAATTCGCTTCAATGAATTTACACGGGAAATTCTGATATTTAAGACTTCATTTGGTTTTCATTTATTTTCGATTTATTTACGGAGAATTCTGCCGTGAATTCCGATTTGTAGTGGTTTTTTATTTGGGGAAAGCGATAATTAGTCTGGGTTTTGCTGGATTTTAATCAATTGAAAATTGCGTAAGGCGAATGAACAATTAGAATTTATCGTAATAATTTTTAAATTGTCTCTAAAGAGAACACTCTTAAATATTTATCTTTATATAGTAGTACTGAACTTTTGAAAATCAAATTTTAATTGAGGGGTAATCATAAATTAGCCTGAGTTTAGAGAGATCTAATCGGATTTAATCCCGATTTAGCCAGACATTGATTTAATTAAAAATTACGTAACTCGAATGAAAAATTATTAAAAAATGAATCTTTCCCCAGATTATGTGATAAGAATTCCTAACTAGCCTCTGAATAAAATAAATTCCATTGAAAATCCCTCTACCTCGAATTTATCATGGGATTTATCCCGTCATCTATAAGGAACTTACCAGGGGTAGGTGTAACATCATGATAAGGGGGTAGCTTATCAAGTTCTAGTGGCGGTCTATCAGGTATAACCGATACCCCACCGCCTCCAGCTACACCGCCAGCCCCCGAGGTGACGGGCTCCTGGGGATTCGCCTCATCAACGCCTACGCCGCAGCAACCGCCTGTGAATAAAAAAAATCAACCGAACAATAGTATAAATATCAATCCAGAGGAATAAAATGGCACGATGGAACAATGAGACAAAGGAAAATGCAGTTCCCCTGTTATTTATGACAAAGATCGATGGCAAAGAGGAGCGGTCATAGGGGAAATTAGGTTGAATTTCTGTTAGGGGTGGGAGTGGCTCCTCAAATTTCACCCCACGTCATATTTTTCGACACGACCGTTGAACTCATATTCTCATACATTTCTTTACCTCGTACTTTTTTTTTATTTCCACGTAACCTGTCTCGGTGTAATACTGGGGATCTAACGAGAGGGACATAAAAAAATCCAGAGGAGGGGAGGACGAAGCTGCTCAAGTGCCAGGTGAGGGTAGATATTTGGAATTCTGATATGGTTCCAGTATATTTACCCGTTCCTTTACATACGGTATTCTCTCTTTACCCCTCGAGGCATTATGACATACACGAGCATATGAAAAAGAGATGCGAAGGGATCCCCCCACTGGCTTTATTCCTCTTCTTCCAACTTCTCGTCTCGCCATTGTGCTCATGTCATCGAGACATCCAGACTGGATTTTATAGATCACAGAAGCCGCTGCTCAGGAATGCAAAAACGAAAATAACTCATCGTCCAATATCTGTCCACACTTCCATATTTTAATATACGCGGGCTCTTGTTTGCGGAATACATTTTGGACGAGTGGTAATAGGAGACATTGAAAAAATCATCGAAATAAATAAATACGTTTTTATAATAATTATTTTTCTCTCAGTGCAGAATTCTGTAGCAAAGTGCTAAACTACGATAAGAGCACAATTTCTGTTGATGAGTTTTCCCGAAATATCTCGAAATTCCGAAAAAATACCGATATTTTCATAATAACCTTTTTTGTAGTGTTCCCATTTCTCTACAAAAACTATCTGACCAAAAATATCGCTATCTCCCTTCAATTCCAAGATATTCGTAAAAAGGTAGTCACGAGAAAAAATCGCGTATCCCAATTTACCATTTCTCAATAGAATTCTGTGTAAAGTTTGATGTGCACTAAATCTCAAAGGAAGTAGGAGGCGAAATTGATGCGATTTGATGATAACTCAATCACATCGAGGTAATAATGAATGATTCCTCAAGGTCTACCTATTTACTGGACTCCCACAGATACTGGCCACAGGCCAAACAGTTATCATCATCAGTATTATGTACACACACGGCCCTCAAAGGTAGCCAAGAGGGGTCGAAAGGATTGATTGGCGTTTAATTAGTTGGCGTAATGGAAGCGGTAGTATATACATCGGCAATGTAAACAACCCATGTGGTTTGAGGAAGAAAGACACCAGTATATAACGACCAATGGTGTACCAGAGAGAGAGGAGGAGACAGGCGACACAGTGGACAGTGAAACGCGTCTAATTAACTTTCCGATTTGAAATCAACCGTGCCTTTGGTGGCTGATAGCATCAGCACTGGCGTCGTGGCGTACGTGCGCCTGCCACACGAGATACATACACTGATTTTTATTCTATTTTTTCATTTGCTTTTTCATTTTTTTATTTATTTGCTTCCCTCTTTTTTACTTCCCTCAACGTCCAACGCCGAATTAATTATCCGACACTCCAACAAGACCTGCACTGTCCTCCCGAGGTCCCCAACGGGTTCAAGGAGTCATCTGGGTTATAGAGCCATTTCAATCCGGGGGAAAGTCTAAGGGATTTTTAAGCTATATCTATACTTCGTCCAACGACAATTCGCCTGTATTAATTCGAAAATGGTTGTTTCGCTGTTCATTCATTTGTATTTGTTATTGCATTTTTTTTTGTGTGTAGGGTAAATATTTCAGTCGGTTCCTGCTCTGAATAACACGGAATTATGATGCTACACTGAAAAATATCAGAATGAAAATAATACTGTTAAAAACATCACAACGACAAAACGACACAATAAAAAACAACAGCCGAGAAATTATAGAATTTTAAATATCATGAGCTAATGATAATATAAAATCAAAATATCGCGAGAGGGAAACCGAATGGAGAATCGGTTTTGTAACGATTATGACATTTTCAGTGTGTGTTATTTTCATCAATAACATTTTTCATTGTCATATTTTTCATCATAATATTAAAAACTGATACTGCGAATTTTTACGCTGTTATTTACCCTTTAATTAATATTGATGCGATCAGAATTCAGACTAGCCGTGAATTTGATGAAATAATTTCAGTCACATCGTACCATTAGGCGGATTGTTATTTCGCGAATGGGTAAATTACCAGTTTTTTTTATATTTTCGATCTCCCCGCATCAATACCTGCGACGAAATATTATGCGGTGCTCTGTGGGGGTGATTATCGTGGAAAATGGAAGTTTTAATTTTATTATTGCTGTGCAGCGAAACGTCACTGGCCCCATGAACTTTACACCTCGATTCAACCCACCCTCTCACGTTTATCCCCCTGGGAGTTGATTTTTTAGCGTGAACCCTGACAATTTTCGCAGGGGATTTATAGACACCATTGGAGAGGGACCACTCGAGAGAGCTTGATTGTCGATGTAGATAATCATTCGATCGTTATCGGTAGCGACGTATGAGAGATCGCTGGGTTGTGTAATTGGAAAGTATGAAGGACCTGGGAACTCAGTGGACTATTTGACGTTTTCTGAATCAATGTCTTACCTCTGCCACCGGCGCTTTTTATTCTGTAACAAATAATTGAGAACGAGTGATTAATTGAGATATCATCAACTGCTTTAAATTACTTTGATTGACGATATTAATAAATCAATTGGAAAAAAAAAGAGAAAAGGAAAAAGCCTTCAACTAAAATGACAACTGAATTCTCAAATCGAAGATTCTTTTAAATAATAATAATGATAATATTAATCATGTAAAATTATTATACGTATTGATCATTAAATATTGGGAATTGTTAAAATTGAAGTTATAGTTGAGTTTATCGCGTTATGGGGCGGATTAAAATGAAAAAGAAAGCGGTTTTTAATGAGAATAATTTAACATTTCGATTAACAATATTTATTTTAATAAAGATCAATGAACGTACCTTCTGCAGTGAAGAAGGGTAACCATAACGACAGCCCCAATCGCTGCTGAGATGAGCGATACAATAATGAGTGTCAAGACCCAGCCAAATTCACCAGGTGCCTCTGCAAAAAAAAAAAAACAAACAGATAAATAAACGAGTCAACATTAAAGTGATGTTTAAATTCCATCCACTGTTCTGCGGCAGATGTAAACTACACAGACAACCGCAGAGTAGTTAGTATAAATGTGACATGGCAGTATCCCGTAAATAAGTCGTCTTCAACTGGCATGGAAATAGTGGTAAACTACCAGTGCGATAATTGGCGCCTCTATCCACCACCAACTGTTAACCAACAGTCACCACAGGAGGTTTAAAAAGCCCCAACTAAACTTACAAACGCTCATTTCCATCACTATTTTCCTCCAGCTATTTTCTAAACAGCCGCCAGCCTTTTCTCACTCGACTGTAAATTCCCATCGACAAAATAAGACTTGCATTCAATCGTGTAATTACATTGTGATGTGCAACCGTTACTTCCGCCCCAGGAGTACATTACGATGAAAGTTTAAAGAAGAAAGTTAATGAGGGAAGTGCACCAGAAAATTTTCAGCGTCATGTAAAATGAAAATAAACTGGTGGAATTGAAATTGAGAGGCTGGATGATGAGGTGAAATTTTCTCCTCGTTACGGATCAATTTGGAAATTTTTACTCTTCATTATAAATAATTAGGTGGAGTTGGATTTTTTGGGGGGGGGGGGTGTAGTCTGGGCTTTCGCACGATATAACGAGTGATTCTCGACTAATTGCGATCCGTGGGGGGGAGCGATCTGAGGAACCACCCACGTATTCGATCACTGATACAAGCCATCGCCATTGCTAATTATCCCGGACCATGCACGAATTGTCGGGTGGTTTCCACTCCATGTAAACACCACCCACCGTCTTCACGATTCTCACTCTTTAAAATGAAATAGAAAAATATATAAAGAGTATATTTTGAAAATTTGAAAGAAAATTGACGGACAATATTGGAAATCCCAGAAAATTTCGGACTCAATTCAATAGAATCGCTAATTATGTGAGTGTTAATTCAAAATTTGATTACAATTTTCAATTATAAAATGTATATTTAGTAATTATTTATAATAATTGAACTGTTTTATTATATTGTAGTAATTTATAATAATTTGTCGTTATCATTATCGATTTTTTAATTAATTATTCATTGAAATTGTAATGAATGAAAAATTTAAAGAATTTATTGCCTGATTTTAAATATTTTTCATTATATTTTCCAAGTAAGGAAAAATAAAGTAATAACAATGAGTTATTAACAATAATATAAACCAAAAACTACAAAAAAATAAATGAACATAAAAAAAATATTTTCTATCAAGAGCGGAATGATCCTAGCAAAGATAAAAATAAAGAATTAGTTAACGATTCAAGGAATCATCCGAGTGCATGAATCTTTCAACTGGAGCGACATTTCCAATAAAAAAATAAACGACGCAAATTTTTCTGTTGCCAAAACGAAATGGAAATTGAGTTAAACCCCGACAGGTGGGTGATTAAAAAATGACAGTGTAGAAAAAAAAAGGGGCTGAAAGGATAAAAAGAAAATGCTGGAGAATCGACACAAGACGAGACATAACTTTGAATTAACTCTGACAGGACACGAATGAGCGCGAATGAGTTCTCGAAATGAGAACGTCTCTCATCGTCTCGTTGGCTCATCTCCTCGTCTCTGACGTTAACATAACAACTTGCACGGTACCTGCCGATAAGACGTTAACACGAAAAGTTATCGATCATATCTCCCGCAGAGAGACAAGGATACGAAATGAATTGGAATGAAGTAGTGGAGGAAAACTCCAAGGATAAAAGAAAAGTCATCCCCGGGGAGAGAACAAGTCTACAGTAGGCTAGGAGACTTGTCAAAAAAAAAATAAATCCAGTGAACACTTTCCAATTTCCAATTACAAATGATAAATGACATTTACATTCCTCTATCGATTTTTCATACTAGACTCCATCCTCGTTTCTGACACTTCTGACACCTTCCCACAAGATTTAAGCCTCAGATTAATAATAAATTTGAATTGTCTCGAGATCTTTCTTGTCCTTCCCATTGAGAAAAATTATCAATTTAGCCCTGGATTTATCTGGATAATTCCTGGCGTCAGGTAAATTTATTTGGCAGAAGCAATTTTGCGGTTTCGGTACGTTTTTTAGATTAATTGTTGATTTATTGAAATTTAAGGCACGAAGTCATTTGAATTTTCAATTTTATGAGCTTGGATTCGATTTCAATTAAAAGGTTATTATTAATTAATTTCTTGTTCATCTTGAAAATTTAAGAAAATTATGGGTTTCAAGTTGAATAATTATAATTTTAATTGATTAATTAAATTTTCAATGTGATATGGATTAAAAAATTGTGAATTACCGTAATACTATTATCAGTAGACGATTGTTTAAAATTTTCAAAGTGTTTTTACTCGAAAATTCAAGTGCAATTTTCAAGTTTGGATTATCAGCTAAAAATACTCGTATTTTTGAATAATTATTACGAACAGTAAAGTTTGTATTCCCCACAAGTTCGACGAAACTTTCACTGAACCACTCGGTCTCATTAATTTTATGACTCCTCAAAAGTAATTCATTGTTAATCAGCGGTAATTCTTTTTTCAAGTGCAGATCAAAAATGTCCGTTTTACGCGAAAACAGTAACTCATGTCGCTGATAAAAAAAAAATTCCCGATGATATACTAATCTCCATTTTATTTTTTCTGAAGACTCCAGAAACAGCCGCCCAATTAATCATATATTAAAATGTACGTTTCTCACGGAGAACACCTGCGGCAGAGGTCCCGCATTTCGTTTTCGATTCGAAGACCCAATTAAACTTCATGATTTAGGGAGTGCATTTATCAGCTACTTGCTTACACTTCATCCCACGTTCTCACTCGGCTCACATCTCGGTTGAACATGAATCATTTTGTCCTACACGGTGGAAATTTTTTGCAAAGATTACCATGAAAATGGCGTTAAAATTGCACGTGGAAGTGTAACGGACATGCATCATGCCAGCTCTAATAAAAATTATAACGTTCTTTGTTATTTCGAGTCGAAACTTCAGTTTTTTCTCAATCAAAATTTCGGAAAGGAATAATTCATTTCATTAAAGTAAAATTTGTCTCCCCAACTCGGGCAAAATGAGAAAATTTCCCGGCTATTTACGTTTCGTTTACATTTCCTAATATTCTACTTTCCTAATTTTCAAAATTAAATTCATAAAATTCACGAGCTCCAAATATAATTTCCCCAATATTCATCATGCATTCAAAAACCTGAATTATTCTGACATCATCAACATTTGTTGAATTTCAAAATGTTCAACCAATTTTCATTCTCAAAAATCACACCGAATATATAAAATAAAACTCCCATAAATACCTCTCCCATACTTAACATTACTTTTAAATAAATTCAAAAAGCCCGAAATTGTCCAAATTATTTCTATTTAAAAAATTTTTTACGATAATTTTGTGTAAGAAATTCCTGAAGGGATCAAAGTTTTTATTTGAAATACCGAATGGCGTTATGAGTATTACATATTCACGGTTCATCACCCCCGGGAGCAAGAGAGGCCGTTGAATTAATTCGATATTACGGCGGGTTTTGAAGTGTCTTAAAGGCACTATATGGTGAGTTAACCTGCGGAGGTAATTGTTCGGCAGGGATCACACGAGAGAAGCTGTCATTTTACGAAGAAGCGGCCACACCTCCAATCGACTTTGACCGATAATTCAGGAGATCGAGTGACAGATAATTCAATCGGGAATGAAACGATTGCATCTCAATCTAATGCAGAGATTCCGGTCCTGGAGGAGATGGAGATCAATCCAACGGGACATCATCGAGGCCCATTGTTAGATTATCATGGCCTTTTTTTATATCATTTTTATATGATATCACATATACTTTGCGTGATCGTTACGCTTCGTCGAGAACTGACTGGTTATATTTTCTCTAAAAGCCGGTTTCTATCGCGTGCCAGACATCGATTGACTCGTTCCTGTCGCTCACTAAATTCACTATTCAGAAGTGCCGTTCAGGTGTGTCGGCGAATTTTTGAAAAATGGATAGATAAAAATGGCATTAAATGATTAAATGATATGTGGAATGATTTGAAAATATCCTGAGGAGTGCCGATGTCAATTGCGGAATAATTTATGGGAATTCTATGAGAGATGTCGTTTATATTACGCGGCAGTGATGATGGCTAAATTGGATTTACGAAACATCAAGTTTTTGCGGTAAAGGAAAAATTGCGGAAACATTACCCAGTGAAATACACGTCATTTTTAGATTATATTTCATATGTACGTTGTGTGCACACCGAGAAAAAAAATAATAAATGCGGAATAAAGTTCAATTGCAATTTTACTTGTTTGCGAAAATTCAATTTAGAATTTATTATTCGTTAAAATACGCACGAAGATGCGACTTAATTCATCAACTCTTGAATAATCACAAAAAGTTAATATAAAAATAGAATTAAATAATTAATTCTCTTTCAAATTCATAAAACGCCATTAACATATTCTACCGCATTAATTAATTTAATGATTTAATAACAAATAGATTC